GTAATTTTAGGGTATTTCACCTCTCTAATTTATGCACGACAGAAATTAAAATGGAAAGTGACATTTCGGTATTGCGCCATATGTATTTAACACGTTATTATAGATATCTGAAAAGCACACATACCAGAATTTTAAACAATTTCATTTAAGGCCGTTGTTCAATACTTACCTCAGGACTGTCAGCTTTGGAAAAAAATTATTGAGGGACCACGCCCAAAGAACATTTTTTTTGGGCTCAATCAGATCGTCCATACAAGGGCCGGCAATAGTGCATCGAGCATCTGTAGCTCCTAGAATAAAAAATTTGGAAATTTTGTTTAAGTGCGAAGTAATTTTTTTTAAAGTATTTTAAGACGTCTGGCTCTTTGATATATCTTTTACTATGCTCTGTAAAACAGCATGCGGCCCGTCTGGCTGCCGGTGAACGTTGCGTTCCTTACTGCGCATTGAAAGAATATTCTATATTTTTATTAGTCCTTTAAATTCTAGTATTGAATATAAACCGACCGAGTCTCCATAGCTCAACGTAGAGGTTTCGCCTATCAAGCGAGGAGTCAGAGTTCGAATCCGGGTCTGGGCAACGTTTTTTTTAAATTTTATTTTCGTTTATATTCTGATAGTAAAGTATTAAATATTTGTTTTTTTTGAATCACCAGAATTATTTAATACTTTTCTATCAGAATATAAACGAAAATAAAATAAAAAAGTCTTTGCCTTGACCCGGATTCGAACTCTGAATCCTCGGTTCCTCGTCGGAAACTCTACGCACTGCGATACTAGAATTTATAGGACTAAATTAAAAAAATATATATAGGACCTTCTTCCGATGCGCAGTAGTGAACGCAACGGGTATGGGCAGCCAGACGGGCCGCATGTTGTTCCAGAGAGAAGAAAGGCGCATCACTGTCCTGAAATCAAAACTATATTAGGTATTTACTTTAGATGGTCTGTAATTTTTTTGCTATAAATATGGTAATCTTAAATCATACAGGATGTTCAAAATTCTACGCCAAACTTTCTAAAATATCAAATAATTTTTCTGTGTTTTTTTTAAACGAACAACCTGTATATTCTTTTTTCAATAGATTTTTTTTGTATTTAAAGTGTTTCAAACATTTTTAACGGTTTCGCAGATATTTGGCATTTTTCACAGTAAATTTTTATCCACTCAATGATTTTTTTCTCGTATTTTACTTTATTGAGAGAGTGAAATAATATTGTATCTACAAAACCATTAAAAATTTGAAATACTTTAAATACAAAAAATGATTATTTAATTCACCATATAATAAAAAATAATATACAGGGTGTTCGATTTAAAAAAAAACAAAGAAAAAATATTTTATATTTTAGAAAGTTTGGCGTAGAATTTTGAACATCCTGTATGATTTATGATTACGATATTTATAGCAAAGAAAAAGTGATCTAAAACAAAGCCAAAAATGTAATAATATACAAGGCGTTTTATTTAAAATAATTATCCCGATCCACTCATACTTTTTTGAGCCACCCTATAGAATTTAAATATTTTCCTGAAATTCATCTTTACTTTAGGTCTGCACTTAAAACAGAATTTCCAAGTTTTTTATTTTAGGAGGTACAGATGCTCGACGCACTATTGCCGGATACGTTAAATTTAGGTGTTCACAGGTACTGATTTAAGATTTTCTTCTTTTTGCAGCTTTTGCACAAGAAAGCTTCAAATGCCCGGACGATTTTGGGTTCTATCCACACAGCAGGTCGTGTGACAAGTACTGGAAATGTGACAACAACGCTGCCGAGTTGAAGACGTGTGGAAATGGATTGGCTTTTGACGCCAGCGATCCAAAATTTTTGACAGAGAACTGTGATTATATTCATAACGTCGACTGTGGTGACAGGGCAGAACTTGGTAAGATATTTTATTTTTAAATTAGAGCTTTCTAAAGTTTTTTAATCTTGCTGGTTCTATTATAAATTATATTCTATAAAAAGATATAGACTAATAATATACATTGATTTGTTTTGATCCTAGATCATATTTTTAAATTTAGAAGATGATAGATGGGAGGGGTTAATCGCTTCGATACTTACAGATCATTGTATCCCCTTTCTTGGAATCATAACTCAATATACAGTCCCAGGGCTTGACAAAAGCCAGTATCTGGGACGGTTTTACAGAGGTTAGTTCTCCATCTCCAATATCAGTCGTATCAAAGTTCATGGCACGAATTGTTGTCGTCTCGGCGCACTCAGTGATGAAGTGTTCTGGTGTTTCCCCATTTTCCCCACAGAATCTGAATTCGCCGTTTCTTCTTAGTTTCAATCTACTGAGATGTCCATTGAGAAGACAGTGTCCTGTTAAAAAACCCGTGACAATCCGAAGATTGTTCTTACTTAAATCCAGGAAGATCTTTGATTTTTCTTGGTCGTAAGCCCTCAGAAACTTCTTCGAGTGTCTTAGACCGTTGCAAGACTCCCATTCCAGGTTGCGGATGGAGTCTTCTAAGTTCTTGAGTTCCGCCTTCAGTTGGTTACCACTTGGAAAGCAGAACGGTTCTGGTCCAGTTAGTGGAGTGTTCGCTCCTTTCCTAGCTAGATTATTTGCTTTTTCATTGCCTACTATCCCTTGGTGAGCAGGCACCCAGTGTAGGAGGACTTTGTTTTCTTTGCCTAATTTATTCAGCTTCTCTATGCATTCTTTGACCAATTTCGAATTGATTGATACTGAGTTGATCGCCTTTAACGCTGCTTGACTATCAGATAAGATGGCTATTTCTAGTTTCCGATAGTTCCTATCTAAGATAAGTTGTACGCATCTCTCGATAGCGTAGATTTCTGCCTGTAGGATACTAGCGTAAGTGCCCATTGGTTCGGAGTAATTAGCTCTCGGCCCAAACACTCCGATCCCGGTTCCCGTATTGGTTTTGGAAGCATCAGTATACCAAGTTATGGTATGGTCTTTTAACTGCTGGGCAAGCGTTTCGCTCTTCCAATCCTTCTTATTGCTCAATACTACATTGACATGTTTGTCAAAGTTGTACGTTCTTGGCATATCGTCCACTGGGAGTTGCAGGATAGATCATATACAGGGTGAGTTTCCTACGATGTTCTCTATGGGTATCTCGGAAACTACTGGAGATAGAGAGTCGGTTAAATGAGGAAAGAATTGCAGTTTTGTGGGGTCATAAATATGCGCCTTTCAGATTTTTGAAAAAGTGCATGGCTTACTAGATATTTCGAAAAAAACAAATTTCAGTTATTTTGAAAGTTGTCCCTAATTCCATTATAATCTATTTTAGACAAAACGTTTTCAGATAAAAGTTGTAGATAATGACATCCTTAATGAGATTGTGTACTTCGTTTTTTTCTAAAGCCTGTCATTTTTGACATATGACACAAACATATGTTTTTTTAAATGGAAACCATAGTTGGCTATGACTTCATAAAAAGCGCCATTTTTTAAGCTTTTTAGAGATATAAGCTTCTTCTTTCTTCTTCTTTCTCAGCCTGGTTCCATCCAGTGTTGGATATAGGCCTCTTCTAGGTTTTTCCATGCTTTGCGATCTCTAGCCAATCTTATCCATTGTCTTCCCGCCACTGCCCTGACGTCATCGACCCATCTCTTTTTTGGTCGGCCCATACTCCTGGTTGTTTCCCTAGGTCTCCATAGGATTACTTTTTGGGGCCATCGGTCTGAATCCTGTCTTGCCACATGTCCTATCCATTGCCACTTCAGACTTGCCACTCTTTTAACGACATCTATTAATTTTGTTTTTTGACGTATGTGGGTATTCCGTATTTTTTTCTCTAATATTGACTCCCAACATGATTCTTTCCATGGCTCTTTGTGCTACTCGTATTTGTTCTGCTGTTTTTCGAGTAATTGACATAGTCTCTAAGCCATACGTAAGCACAGGTAGAATGCAGCTGTCGTAAGCTTTTTTCTTTAGGTTCATGGGCACCTTTTTATCCTTGAAAATATTGCTCATATTTCCAAATGCTACCCATGCCAAATGGATCCTGCGTTTGATCTCCGTATTTTGGTTTTCCTTGCCCAGCTTGATTTTATGACCTAAATATATATATAATGGTCTACGTTTTCAATAATAACGTTGTCAACGGTAATGTTATGGATATTGTTGCTCATTATCTTGGTCTTTTTCAAATTCATTTTAAAGCCAATTTTCTGGGATTGGTCATTTAGCTCATTTAGCATGGTGTTTAGTTCTTGAATGTCGGTGCTCAGCAAGACAATATCGTCTGCGAACCTCAGATGGCTAAGGTGTACCCCATCGATGTTTAGACCTCTATTTTCCCATTCTAATTTCTTGAAGACATTTTCCAGTGCCAGTGTAAATAACTTGGGAGAGATGGTATCTCCTTGTCTCACGCCCTTGCCGAGTAGTATTTTTTCTGTTTTGAGGTCATCATCTAATTTAACTTGGAAGGTTGCACTATCATAGATATTTTTAATAATGGAATAATATCTGGAATCAATTCTCGCGTCCTCCATTGCAGCTAGAAATGACCAGGTTTCGATGCTGTCAAAGGCTTTTTGGTAGTCTACAAAGGCCAAATGTAGAGGTATATTGTATTCTGTTGTTTTTTCAATGACTGTTTTAATTGTTTGTAGATGATCGATGGTACTAAAACCTTTTCGAAAGCCTGCCTGTTCTATTGGCTGATAGGAATCTAGTTTCGTAGACAGTCGGTTGTTGATAATCCTAGTGAAGAGCTTGTATAGATGCGAGAGAAGGCTTATTGGTCTATAATTCTCTATATTTGTAAAATCTCCTTTTTTGTATAATAGCACAACTTCTGCGTTTTTCCATGCGTCCGGGATTCTACCCTCCATCAGACATTTATTTAACAATACTTCCACGGCATCCACTAATGGTTTTCCGCCCATCTTCAGCATTTCAGGTGTAATACGATCTTCTCCTGGGCTTTTGCCATTTTTTATTTGTTGAAGTGCGTATTTAATTTCTGTGGTTGATATTTCTGGCATATCTTCTGATCCTACGTTTGTGATGTGTTTTTGTACTCTATCTTTGTTTGGTATAACAATTTGAGTTGTTCGTAGAATTTGTGAATTTCATTTCTAATTTCATGTTTGTCTGTTGTTATGGTGCCATGTGTTTCTTATTTTTATTATTTTTTGTTTTTCCTTGCATTTGCTTGCGTCTTAACACTTTCGTATACTTCTATTGTTTTCAATTGTTTCCAAAATTTGGTTTCTCTTATAATCCCTAAGATCTTTTCTTATTTCTCTTTTTAGTTGTTTTATTTAGTGTCATATTCTGGAGCATCTCTGTCAGTCTTTCTTCTTTCCCTTTCCCTTAGCAAGATATAAGCTACAATATGTTTCTTCGAAAATTACTGAGTTGTAGCCAATTCTTATTATTTTTTAAATAATTTCATTTAGTTAGCCATGGAAACAAGGTTCAATCGCCGTTGCTCTCTCAGAAGTAATGAAATATCTGTATAAATAAATAAAATATCAGTAAATAATCTGTCTAAATCTAACGAAAGGGAAATGAATGCAAACTCAGGGCTAGGAAGGGGTGGATATTGCATGAGCCCTCCCGCGATCACCTGATCTATACATTTAGATTTTTATACGAGGTATGGTTAACAATAAAAGTTTAAAAAAAAAAAAAAATATGAATTAAGAAGACGCACACTCGTTGTGGTGCTACGAAGTTTAATTAAGTCGACCGGTCCCTTCTCTGAGAATAGGTAGTAATTCATTTTTTAAGATGCAACTCAAAACAATGGCGGTTTTTTTTGAACATTTTCTAAAATAACTTAAAATGTATGTAGTGATATTATTTTTTTAAGTTTTAGTTTGTGTAATGTAAATTGTAAAGAACCGTTTAATAATATATTCTGACTTTTTATAAGTTATAAATCATAACAGAAGTGAATACCATACAATCTAAGTGAAATTAGTCTAGAAAGATAAAAATTGGCTATAAATAAATTTAGCTTTTCAAACATGTCTTAAAACCCGTTCTCCAAAAAACGTAACATTCACCGGTCAACGTATCCTCGAAAATGTATGGCCAAGAAAAGTTGAACCAATAATCCTACAAGCTTTTCTTCATTTGAAAAATTCATTTTTACAATTTTTGTTTATTTTAATTTACCAAGTTTGGATGTGACAGCTTTACATTTCTGAGAGCAAAGATGATTAAACTTGTTTCCATGGCTAACTAAGTGAAATTGTTTAAAAATTATAAGAATTGGCTATAACTCAGTAATTTTTCGAAAAAAACATATTATAGCTTATACCGCTGAAAAGCTTAAAAAATGGCGCTTTTTATGATGTCATGGCCAGCTATGGTTTCCATTTGGTGTCATATATCAAAAATGTGTGATTATCTACAACTTTTATCTGAAAACTTTTTGTCTAAAATAGCTTATAATGGAATTAGGGATAATTTTTAAAATAGCCAAAATTAGTGTTTTTCGAAATATCTAGCAAGCCATGAACTTTTTCAAAAATCTGAAAGGCGCATATTTATTTATGACCCCACAAAACTGCAATTCTTTCCCCATTTAACCGACTCTCTATCTCCAGTAGTTTCCGAGATACCCATAAAGAACATCGTAGGAAAAACTCACCCTGTATATTGCATAGTAACATAAACGCACACTGATAATTTATTAATTCGCAACAATGAAAGTCGAACTGATATAGATCCTTTTAAATCAATTATTCATTAGAGATTGGACATGAAACAGTTTTGCTGTTGGATAAAATTTTGTATAGCACTCGTATGTTATAACATATAAGTCACTTGAGAAAATTAGCTAAACATTTCCCAGCGTGACTTATATGTAAGATAACAGAATAGTATCATACATAACTATAATTCAATGCTATGGAAAGGGTGATAATAGTTA